AGATGGAATCCTGACATACAAAATCTTATCACTATAATGGCTATTATCTTTTTATTTCAAATATATCAGTTTTTATTATTTACAAAAAATAATCCTTACCCAAACAATCTCTTTCTGCTCTCTTTATATTCATTCATTCATCCATCGGTATTTATCAGAGTGATTGGGTCTCAGGCCTGGGGTTACAATGGCGGTGCCGTACAGTGCTAGATAAACGCAAAGATCCTTTCAAGTTCTCAGGTTCTGAAGCCTTGGATAGAGTGAGAGGTCAGAATTAAACAAAAGAATGGAAGGTGCACTTCCCAAAGGTGTACTCACATGTGATCCCACCCCCAGCTGTTTCCAATCGTGTTGCCTCTGCTAAGCAAGACGCGACTTTCCCACTCATCTACGCCTTGAGCCTTCTCTTTTAAACAGAGCTTATTGACAACTATCTTAATATATTACGTTTGAAAAAAACGTTGCTAGGGCAGCTGCACATCTACCAGTTATTGAGAAACTAGTAACTTCAAACACGTATTTAAGCATTACTTATTTATTAAATACCAGGGTGTGCGTGTGGAGGCCAGGTAAAGCTATAGCTCATTGGTGAGTGAGCCTTGCTGAGTCCATAGAGCTTCACGTTGTGTGAGAAACCCTGCCTCAAAAAACAAGTGGAGAGCATCTGAGGAAAGATACCAGACTTCGACCTCTGGCCTCAAGGCACATACATACATTTGAATCTGCGTGCACAAATGCATGCACCTACAATTTTACAGCAAATACAACAACACACAATTAAAAGCAATACTGGCCCAGTTTACAAAATAGTTACATTATGTAAAATCATGGATTATTATTCATGATTAAAATTCTTCATTAAATAATTCAGGAAAGCAACAAAATGCTATACAGAATATTCAAACCAATGATACTAGAGAAATGGGAAGCGCTTACATATCATTGTATTTAATTGTGTCTTTATTCTGGTCCCACCTTACGTTAACATTGCTTTCTCTCCATTGTCCTCAGAAAAGGAGCAGCGTTTCTGAAGAAGATTATACTTATTTACATCTCTTATTCTAGAGTCTTGACACTGAACAAAAAGTTCAAAACCAATTTAAAATGCAGCACATTCCTTAATGTGATCTTAAGGGTGAAAAAAAATCCCCTTTTGGTCGAGTGACTGACGAACAATTGTTGATATGACAGATGACTTTGGTGTACGTGGTAAACTCAGTGGGCCAGAAAATATCATCGTTTTCAGATATTTATTGTGTTGTCAGCTCCTTCGTTGTATTTTCTAAACATTTGGTGACAGGTTTCAAAATCCCCTTACTTCTTTTCACTTGGTATCAGTGAGTACACCAAGGCCATGGAACTTGGTCCTAACCAAGGACCCATGTGGGGTCCTAACCTCACCAGCTACTCAAGGGTAAACCAGCTGAGATACCTGGAGTCTGTTTGTAAGGACAAACAAACACAATTATTTTTTAATGAAGCACAAATCTTCAATAACCCACTAGGATAATCTTATGTATTCATCTCTCATTTATTACATCTCCACCACAGATTCTTTTGCAGGGACCACATATATTTACCTTAAAGCATGTTGTATTTATTCATATTTGGTTCTGTTGCATGTTTGATAAGGTTTACTCCCAAACTTTATGTAAGTTTAGTACACAAACATATTTAGTGATATTTTAAACATCTTTTCTTCTTTTTTAGGTAATTTATTTTATTGATTGATGGAGTTACCCCAACAATGACTATTTGTTCTGTTGAGAATGCTTGCAATCCTTTCTTCTGCCCTTTTGAAATTATCCCTTCCTTCTCACTGCCACATCGTGTAAGCAGAGACTGCTCGTTCATTCCTGGCTTCCCAGATCTGAATAATCACACAAAAACTATATTAATTACAACACTACCTGGTCTGTTAGCTCAGGCTTCTTATTAACTAACTCTTAAATCTTCAATTAACCCATTTCTATTAATCACTGTATCACCACGGGCTGTGGCTTACTGGTAAGGTTCAGTCTCCTTCGGCAGCTACATGGTGTCTCCTTGACTCTATATGTCTCTGTTCAGATTTCTCCACTGGCTTTATTTTATCCTGCCATAAGCTGAACCAGCTGCTTTATTAACCAATGGTGATAAAAGATATTCACACGATACAAAGGGGAGTTCAACATCAGCAGTGTACTCATTAGCCAGGGTGTCCCCATCCTACCCTGCTCCCTACCCTTCCCAACCCCTGGCAACTGTCATTCTACTCAATCTATATAAAGTCAATCTTCAGATTCTACAGGAGAAGGATATGGCATTTGTATATTTCTGTGCCTAACTTATTTCCATTAACATAATGTTCTGCAGTTTTGCTCATATCACAAATGACAGTTACACTTTTGTGGGTGGATAATATTTTATTGTGTATAATTTTTCAGACATTTTCCCCACTATGACCACTTGAGAGATTTTTACTTCTTAGCTGCTGTGAGGGGTAGTGTTCTGAGCCCCATTGTTATCCTCAGTAGTGACACTGCTCGGTTGTACAATAGTTCTCTTCTTAAGCTTTTTGAAGGCTCCAGACCATTTTCTACACTGGCTGCATGGATTTTCTTCCTTCACAGCAATGTGTAAGAGTTCACTTTTTCATACATCTTTACCAACATGACATTTTGTCTTCTTCATTAGGGCCGTTAGTTATTCTCATAGAAATACTTGAATACCTTAAGGTTTTGATTCACATTTCCCTAATAGTTATTTTATCCCATACATGCTGCCCATTGTATGTCCTCTTTTGAGAAATGTCTACTTAGGTGTCTTGCTCATTTTTTAAAAATGTTTGCTTGTCTTACGATTGAATTCTTTGACTTCCTTGTGCATTTGAAAGTCACTTCTGTCAGATATGTGTTTTTCAAGCATTTTCTCTCATTTACTAGGCTTTTATTTGTTTTCACTTAATCAGTTGTTTCCTTTGCTATGAAAGTTTTTTGTGTGACCTGATCCTATTCCTTAGTTTTGATTTTATTGCTTATGCTTTTGAAAGATTAATTCTAAATACTCCTTTCCAGTTCAAGGTCACGAAACATTTCCTCACACTTTTTCTAATTGGTTTATAGTTAGTTTCTGGTCTTATATTTAAGTATTCAATTCCATTTGTGTTGTTTTCTAACAGTTGAGATATATGGGACTTGCTTCACTCATTTATGTATTGTTAAATCTTTTTGTTCGATCTCTTAAAAGGCTCACTTTCTCAAATGTGTGTTCTTGATTCACTTGTCCAAAATCATCTGACTGAAGTGTGATTCATTCCTGGGCTCTCTATTGACTCCTGTGAATCCATGTGTCTTTCTGTGTCCATGTCATGCTGTTTGGGTTGCTTGAACTCTGTTACATATTTTGAGGTCAGTTTTGGCTATTCTGGGTCTTTTATGATTTCTTGAATTTTAGGAGATTTGAATAAATGTGGATTTATTTGTGAAGAATGCCATTGAAGCTTTAACAAATATCATATTGAATTTATAGGGCAATTCAGGTAACTTGTTTTCAGTGCTGTAGTACATAGTTAGGGTTTAGGGATTTAGGTAGGTGAAAACTGGATTTAACAGGATTACCAGAGATCCTAGGATTTTTTTTTTTTTTAAGAAAAGAAAAGGTTCTTGGGCTGGAGAGATGGATGGCTCAGTGGTTAAGAGCATTGCCTGCTCTTCCAAAGGTCCTGAGTTCAATTCCTGGCAACCACATGGTGGCTCACAACCATCTGTAATGAGGTCTGGTGCCCTCTTCTGGCCTGCAGGCATACAGACAGAATATTGTATACATAATAAATAAATAAATAAATATTAAAAAAAGAAACGGTGTTTAGGTTCTAAAGTTATTTTAAGCATAATACTATCATTGCAGAGTTCTGTAACTTTACACATGGTCTTTTGCTTTTACCCACTTTGTAAAAGGGATTTTCTATCATTTATTGAAAAACCCTATCTTTAATTGGACAGAGTTTTGACTTTAGTCAACACAGTAAATAATATGGAATCATTCTATTTATTTCCTCATTAGAAAAACACTTCTACGTTTTGTGCGTATATGTATGTGTGTGTATGCGTGTGTGTGTGAGAGAGAGAGAGCGCGCACACATGTGTGTGAGCATGGCATATGTGCACATTTGTGTGTCCTGTGATTGCTTATGTATCTACAGAGGCCACAGAAGGAAATCTGGTGTTTTGCTGTACTACTCTCTGCCTTATTCCTTTAAGACAGTTTCTCACTACACCTGGTGCTAGCTCCTCACCAGCTAGCTTAGGGATCTCCTTGCCCTGTCCTCTATGATTATTTGGGTTCCAGATGGTATGTAGTAGTGCCTAGCTTTTTAAATATAATGTTTAAGTTATAATTTTTAACATGTAAGTGTTTTACCTGCATGCATGTCTATACACCACATGTGTTTCTGTACATTACATGTATACCTGGTACCCACAGAGGCCAGCAGCGGACATGGGAAACCCTGGAAACTGGAGTTACAGATAGCCGTGAGCCACTCTGTAGATGCTAGAAACCAAACTGAGCCCTTTAGAAGAGCAGCCTAACTCTTACCCACTGAATCATATCCTTGGCCCCGACACTCTGCTTTTGATGTGTGTGCTGGAGGTACAGGGGTCTGAACTTAGAGTCTCACACTTTCCCAGCAAGTGCCCTTGCTACAGAGATCTCTCTCCAGCCCCACATTTTTACACTTCTTAATTAGAGAAGTACAAGCTTGTTGAAATGAAGTTCTCTGAATCTTGTTCCTAACGTGCATTACCGCTGAACCTCTGTCTCTGCTAATTCATCTCTCTGAATGGGAATAGACTCCAGTTAACACAAAAAAGTAAGTAATTAAATAAAACAAAACAGAAAGAAAAAGAAAAGTAGAGATAAGACGTGAGTGTGCATCTGTTGGACTGTGTTTGCGTATGATTGGCACCCTGTATCCTTTTCATTTCTCTGCTTCTAAGCCTGCCTTGTTCTTCTCTCAGAATGGACTCAATGCTCTCCATCTGGCTGCCAAGGAAGGCCACGTGGGCCTCGTGCAGGAGCTGCTGGGAAGAGGGTCCTCCGTGGATTCTGCCACTAAGGTACCGCTCCTACCCATACAATTTGTTTTGTAACAACGAGAAAGAGGCTTTTTAGTTAGTTAGTTAGTTTGTTTTTAATTTATAGTAATTGGTGTAGTTTTTGAAGAAGAAGAGGTGTATAGCCTTTTCCAGTTATTCACAAGGTTTCTGGGGATTATTGAACACTCAGGAATATAACTGAAACCTTTTTCATTACCCAGCAGCATTTGGATCATTTTGTTTGAGGATTTGGATGTGAGACTAAGGTCTGGAAGCCCAGATCCGGTTCCTAATGTACTATCTTTTTTCCTTTGTTTCACAAAGAGGCCTAGATCAACATGATCCCTGTAGACGCTTGCACCTCTGTTCCTAAAGTCAATTCATTAGAAACAAACAAACAAACAAACAGCTCACCTGATACGGCTGGCTGTCTTCTCAGTTGAGATGAGCAGGTCATTTTCATGCTTCATTAAACTGATTTGTCTTTCGTTGTATTCATTCTGTCTGATATGACTATATCAGATCCTTTCTGCTCTACTGTGAGAGAACTTTTGAGTCTTTGGGGTCAAGAACTCAGTTACTAGGATCATTAAAATATTGATTTTAATATAAGTCAAAGTATTTGCCTCCCTTGAATTGTTCATATTAACCTAACATCTTCATTAAACCCACCACTATTTTTCTTCTTAAGTCTTTATTTATTATTTTAATATTATAGATTATTCTCTTCTTAGCCCCCTCCACTACCTTCTTCTCTTTCTTTTTCTTTAATGTTCTGAGTTCTTTTGTTTGTTTGTTTGTTTCGTTTTTGTTCTTTTTGTTTGTTCCTTTTTTTCCAGTGGGGCAGGGCAGGGCTGAGTGCTTGGGTTCAAACCCAGTGTCTTGCACATGCCAAGAAGCTGCATTATCACCAATCTGCAGCTCTTGCCTTTTAAAGATAAAGATTCCAACTGTGGTCTCAGGTGCTCTGAGACTCTGGATGTCCCTGCCTCATCCTTGGTAGTGCAGAGATTTCAGGTGGTTCAATCACGCTCAGTTCTGGTTTACTTTTTTGTTGTTGTTTTGTTTTTTGAGACAAGGTTTCTCTGCAGCTTTTGGAGCCTGTCCTGGAACTAGCTCTTGTAGACCAGGCTGGCCTCAAACTCACAGAGATCTACCTGCTTCTGCCTCCAGAGTGCGAGATTGAAGATGTGCACCAACACGCCCAGCTCAGATTTACTTTTAATCCTATAATGGAGCTGTACAATTTTCTGGAGAAAAAGAGATTTTTAAAAGAAGGAGATGGAGTCCCTTGTGAGTGGATTGTGGCTCTCAGTGATCCAGTAGCAGATGGAGTCTCTCTGAGTGGATCGTGGCTCTCAGTGATCTAGTAGCAGAAGGGAAAGAGAATTGAACTTTATGGTTCAAAATCTGTGTTTCTGTTTTAATTCTCCTATTTTCATTCTTTCTCTTAACCACATTTTCATTTTCTTTGATGAGTGTTGACTCGTTTCATAAATTTTGATGTGGCAAGTGGTAGAAATCATAAATAATTTTATGGATGATAGAGAATTTACTTTTGAATTTCTGAAATGATTTGAGCAAAAGCATGTGTCCGTGTAGGTCGAAACCTAACTCTGAGCAAAATTTCTTCACTCACTGAGAGCCTCAAATTGTCTTCTTGAAAGAATGGTTTTATAAATTGTGTGTGTGTGTGTGTGTGTGTGTATGCATCTTGTGTATATCTGCACTCTGTGCAGATGCTTGAGGACATCAGTGTCCTGGAGCTGGAGTTCCAGGTGGCTGAAAGGCACCTAATGTGGGTGATGGGATCTGTGTGCATATGCTCGTAACTACAGAACTGTGTCCCCAGCCTTCCTATTTTTGTACAGTTAAATAAGCAATGTTCCAAAGAACATTTTGAAGTTGGTTTTTTTTTTTAAATAATAGTACTGCGGTTTTTTTTTCTTGGTAAAATTCCTTGAATTCTACAGGAAATGTCACATGCACACATATCCACAAACTGTGGTTTGGTTAAAATTCAACCCTCTGATGTTCCCAACACTGTACCAGTATTATGCTGCAAGAGATTATAACCATCTTTTTGGGGTTAAAAAGTTCTTTACAAAGTGAGCTTGATAAAAGTGAATGCTTTGCCTCCACAAAATACCAGATTTTAATAACTTGAAATATGAATAAGCTTGAAAGTGTTTGTACATTTTAGTTTCTACCCAATTTGGAAGCCTGTAACATTTTTTTCTATTCTGCTTTGCCAAAACAGAAGGGAAACACTGCTCTTCACATTGCCTCACTGGCCGGACAAGCGGAAGTTGTCAAAGTTCTAGTTAAAGAAGGAGCCAATATCAACGCACAGTCACAGGTATTAGTTACATTTGCATTTTCTCTGTTGTGAAGAGGTTTTTTGTATGGTTTTGTGGCACTGATTTAATGGGTTTGCATTCTTTCAAATTCTTGTTTTCTTATTTTAACTAAAATATTCTATGAAATCATGTAATTCAATTCAATTTCTTATTTCCAAATACTTGGCAAATGCTAGTCCATTGTTGTCTTATGTACTTCAAAAAGAAGAACTAGGGCGCTGAAGAGATGGCTCAGCAATTAAGAACACTGGCTGCTCTTTCAGAGGATCCAGGTTCAATTCCCAGCACCCATGTGGCAGCTCACAACTGTCTGTATCTACAGTTCCGGGGGACCTGACACCCTTACACAGGCAGAACACCAATGCACATACAATAAATAAACAAACAAATAAGAAAATTTGGCCTTTAAGAAGAGGAACTGGTGATGGTGACGTACGTGAAATGTAATTCATGGAAGTTCTGCGCTGCTCTGTGATGGTGCTTTTTCCTATAAATTTGAAACTTTATCAAAAACCCAACATTCCAATCGGAGGTTCTGCTACAGTGTAGGACTCCCTATCCTTTGTTTATCTCATACCCAACTGTGGCTTTATTAAAATGCTGAGGGAAACTGGCAGATTCTAACCTTACAGTTTTATTATCAATATAATCATGAAAAGGAAGTTTATCATTCTATTGAAATTAAGAAAAAAGAAACAATACAAATCACACAGTAGGCTTGTTTTCTATATCTTTTGGTAGAATGTGTGTATGCATGATATTTTGGCCATCACTTTACTCTTGGTGTCTATGATGTCTTTGTGTAGGAATTGAACTATGTAACTTTTTAATAAAATTCATTCCTTCCACGTATGGGAAGCCCTGGGGTTGATACCACACTAAGACACAAAACAAACCAAAAAACATCTTTCTATTTCCTCAGGCTTTCTGTTTAATGCCTGGTATCACACATGGTAATCACACAGACTGTAGTCCAGGCGATATAGGCAGCTCATTTTGATCCATTCGCTGGAACATTTCCACTAGCTGGCTTGCCTTTGTGTAGCAGGATCTACTCCCCGTGTTTGTTTCCTTCCTCATCGTGTCTACAGACATATGACTGTATAGATGACCCACATTCCAGACCAGGAAATGCTAAAGATAAATGGTGGGGTCAGCTTAGTTTTCTTTCATCTGATTATACTGATTAGTAAGTATATTTATGACACATAAAACATCCATTTTGACTGTGTAATGTGATGAAGTTTTAATTAATCACTTCCAGTTTTGTTTGCAGCTCAAACTTTCAGCTAAATTTGTATCAATGATTTACTAGACATTGCAACATACTTTAGTGTAAACCTTTTAATGCCGCAGGGCGATCAGTAATGAAAAGTCCCCAGACTATCTTAATACAAAATATACAGCTTTAATAAACAGAAGTAAGACTTACACCAGCTTACACCAGAATCCAAACGATCCGTCCGGGTGTAGGAGCCAGGCAAGAGAGCTAGGTAAATTTTAGCCTAAGGGCGACACACCCCACGAACAGAATGTGATTGGCTGAACTCCCCTATCAACCTTTAATATTTTTTTATTTTAAAAATTGATAGCATTACTAGAAACATTGATATGTTCCATTCAGTACAGCAACATCTTATTTTGGAAGCACAGAATTATGCTTCTTCAATAACAGCTTTTGGGTGTGAGCTAGCTAGTGACAGAACAGTTGTCCTGCAGGCGGTTGGCTCTGGACTCTTTCCCTAGCCCTGCAAAACAGATGTTTTTGTTTATAGCAAAATAGCATCCTTTTACTCAAGAGCAGGAGTTCTCAAACATTCACCTTAGTTGTGGCCACCCACAGAACTTGCTTGCTAAATTACGTTTCTGGGTACTCTGTAGTAGAAAGTTCTCAGATGATGTGGGTGCTGCCAGTCTGGGAGTCACGCTTGCTTTAGAAGACACTAGAGAAGCCCGGTGTGTCATGTACCCCAGACCATGTCTCCATCAGTAGTAAACATACAAAGCATAAAGCTGAAAGCAAATTATGTTTGAGTGGGCACTGGGGCTTTCATTTAGAATGACAGGACACTAACCTGCAATGCGGAGATTCCAGTCTACAAAAAGAACAGGGTTGTACTTTTCCAAATGATTCATTGAACTTAGTGATGTGATAGAAGTTGACATCTGGCAAATGTTGCAAAGTAAATGCTTGTTAGAAGCTAGGATATTAGTTATTGCTTGGTGCTTGATGTGCTTTGGAGACAGCTCAAGAATAATAAGCTAAAACCTTCTAACCATTTATTTGTTTTCAGAGTCACTGAAGCTTTTCTTTGTGGTCCTAATCATATCAGCTTATAACAGGCCTTAAAGGAAGGGTGATGTCATCACTACAAGATTAAAATAATCCTTATTTGTACAACACATTGTTAATTCATTGTAAGAGTCACATGGGAGGGAATCCTGACAAACAGTTCCAAATGGTTTTTATATATCGTGAGAAAATTTATGAGAGGGAACACTTAATCAAATTTAAAGTAGCTTTTCTTCCTTCCTTCCTTCCTTCCTTTCTTTTTTTTTCCCCTGAGACAGGGTTTCTCTGTGTGCCTCTAACTGTCCTGGAACTCACTCTGTAGACCAGGCTGGCCTGAAACTCCCAGAGATCCTCCTGTCTCTGCTTCCCTGAGTACTGGGATTAAAAGCATGCACCACTACTGTCCTGCTTAAAATTGCTTTTCTAAATACCTCAGTCATTTAATGAGGCTGATGGTATTACTGAATTTAGAAAGCCACCATTATCAGTTGACTAAGATTTTATGATTCATTTAAAAATAAATGTTTATACAGGCAAATTAACTATCTTGCTGATGTGTCTTAGAAAATTTGAAAAGATACGTATTTAAAGTCATGGCTGCTGATATGAACCCTCCATCACTTTTTATTTTCTTCATTCCTATCTTACTTACTCTTGACATAGATTTATGTATCCAACTTTTGGTGTTAGATTAACAGGGCCAGGGTTGGGGAACATGCTCAGGGAAATAGAACCACCACTTCCTTTTAAAAGCCGTGAAAAAGATATAGAGATGCCAGATTCAAAGCACAAATCCTAAATTATATATATATATTCTATATTTTTAATTTATAATTCTATAATATATATTCTATATTTTTCTAAAAACTTAATTCAAAATACAGAAATGAAGAGCAATCTGAAGTTACCCGAATCATTTGAAAGTAGGTTAATAAAATTACTTTTGAAATATGAAGGGGAAAGAAAAACTTCAAACAATCAATATTTGGTAAACTTGCTAGAGTTCATAAGTTATGGAGAAGTATGCATTTGTAGGATTTTCTGCATTAATCATGTAAATTGAGGCTTGCATGACACCTCCATGCATATTATATTAACGGGTGGTAAATCAAACTCTTGGAGATTGCTACAATATGGTTATACAATGGAAGAGAGAAAAGTCTTGACTGAACATATCAATTGGCAAGTGAGAATTTACAGTCAAGAAGGAGTATGTGGTTAGTAGACAGATCATTACTATGTGGGAACATCATGGGTAGAGGGCAGGTTGTCTAAACTGTCTAGCATGCTTCTTCCTGAAGGAAGCAAGGGCCTCTTCATGTGTGAGACTATAGTGTGTGAATAACTTCTTCATTTTCTGGGGGTGATGAGGTGTCAAAGACGGGAGTTTGAACTGAAATGTTTTTTTGGTAAAACTGGATTTTACATATGTGTGTTGTGGAATATTTGTACCTCATGTGAAGGTGTATTGTTGTAATGTGTGTAATAAAAAGCTGAATGGTCAATAGCTAGGCAGGAAGTATAGTTGGAATTTATGGGGAGAGAAGGAATCTAAATGTACAGGAGACATCAAGAGACATAGAGAAGAAATGGGAGGTGTAAGAGGAAGAGAGATAACACCAAATGATAGAATGTAGATTAGTAAAAATGGGTTAATTGAAGTTATAAGAGCTAGTTAGGAATAAGCCTAAGCTATAGACTGAGCTTTCATAATAAAAATAAGTCTCACATCATTATTTGGAAGTGAATTGGTGGCCCAAAAGAAAATCCACCTACATATGCGCCCAATGTGGGGCTTGAATTTCCAAACATAGGGTCCAAAAACGCAAAGAAAAGCTCTGGAAAAGGAGCCAGATGTGGATTTCTAGACCTTCAGCCTCAAGAGAGTAATCTGGGCTAATAGTTGAGAAACAGAAAAAAGAGAAAAAAGGATTTTCCTCCATAAGGAACCTTTGATTTACATCTCAACTGTGCACTCATATGGAAGAAATAAGAGGTGTCTTTATTCCCATCACTGTCTTAGATGGTATGTTACAGAAATTATATCTAAATAGATTTAGTGTGTGTGGTTTGTATTTGGGAACAGCTATATTTTGGCATTGGTACATCCAGGCAGTGTTATCAATAATTTATTCTGGTTTTTCACCTCAGGATCATTGTTGATGCGTGTGTGTGTGTGTGTGTGTGTGTGTGTTTCTTTTGGTGCTTCTCAAAGAAAGAATTTAAAAACACTCTTCAGAAAAAGAGGGGGCTGTGCCAAGCAGCAGCAGCAGCAGCAGCAGCCCGATTCTAGGAGACAGGGGTCCATGTTTTATCTCCATGTTTTCCTTTCCATTCCTTTCTCTCAGGAATGGGGCATGCTTTTCTTAGAAGCCTATTTTACCTTGAATTCAGTCTGTTATAATTAGACGTATGAGATGCAAGAATATGTGTAGGAGTTTAGGAACCTTAAAGTTAAAAACTTCTCTAGGGGGAAGACTGACAACACTGTGTGTTCCCTTGGCAGGAAGTCCTGAAGCTGTTGTCACAGCTAGAGTTGCCTATCAGTTATCTAGGGGCCTCATCTGCTCCTTTGGAAAAGATCACTATTGTCTAAGTTGACCACTATTAATTATTTTTCTGTATGTCCTGTTTGAACTGTCCATTAGGAGTCTCCCCTTGGATCTCTTTGGTTAGTAGTAAGGCAATCAATATAGATTTTTGTTC